CTATATTGAAATAAAAATTTAATACCTATACAATACATGATTATTACTGGATTCTTCCAACCAGTTGTGATTCTGTCTATCATTATTTGTTTGGGTGTGTAATACCTCGATATTGTTAAGTGTGCACTTTTTAAATACAAAGAGCTGACAGTTGATTCTCTCCATAAGTTTTCACTGTTGTTTTTTTTTTTAATGGCAATGAAAGAGATGTCAATGTATTTGAGCAGTGCAAACTCATGCTAATACAGCTGTAATCACTATTTAAGCATCGCATGTGCAGCTATTTTGTTTTGTATGTTAATTCCGGTTGATCCCTTCACATTATGATACTTGCGGCTTCTATTGCTAAGATTTTTATATATGTGGAAATGGTTATTAACGCACCCGGGATCGTTGGGCATCGTCTTGTCTATGAACTGCACCTCGACCTTGTAGAAGATGTACTTGAAGTAGTCCTGGCAGGTGGGCAGCTCGAGCTCGTCGTGCCGGTGGTCGGCGCGCTCGAACACGATGATGTCGCCGTCCATCAGTTCGTCCAATACCTGGCCGCGTGCACACGACTCAACCCGAGCGGAACACCACACAGGGGGTCGGCCGCAGGGGGCGCGCCCGCAGGGGGTCGCCCGCGGGGGTCAGCCCGCGGGGGGTTCACACGCACACACATACCACGTAGTAAACATTGCATCGATCATTTGCGCATAACCACAACTGACAATGGTGAAAATGATCAATGGTCTCCACTCTATACATCTACTTTGTACATTATTCAGTTTTAGTACTGCTAATATACTAGAAAAATATCAGAATTTTTGTAAATACATATTTGACATTTAAACTATACTACTATAAGTAATTAAGCTATATAAGCTGGTGATGTAAAGCCATAGCATACTACATAAGAAGTGTGAAACACAACATCGAAAACATAAATTGTTATAAAAAAATTCTCTACATATATGAAATTTTAATATGGAGTTAAAGTGGCTGATTTCCATAAATCATCTAACAAAAAAAAACACATACTCGAGATGAAATGAAAACATATAATCTAAAATGTACTACCATACCTTTTTTATACCAGAAAACTATGTAAATAATAATTAGTACTGTCGATACAATTTTTGTAAATACAATATTATAGTGAATGAGGAATGAAAATGCAAAATCGTTCATCGTCAAGTACTTCAATATTTTTTTAAGTCTTGGGTTCAATTTCCAGTTCATATATTTATGTTATTTTCAAATAATCAATGATTTTTACTAATTTCCTTTAATCCTGACATATTTAAAATTAAGGGAGACATGGTAATTTCTCTCAAAAAACATTGAACATTAAAAATATTCTTTAGTGGTTTAACCATAATCAAATACATCACTATCACTTATATAATAAAGTAAGTTTGCCTGAGTAAAACTAATAAATAATACCTTTTCAAGAGGGTCATTGTAGTTGTTCAGCTTCTCCACGAAGTCTGGTTTGATCTCTTCGTAGAGGACGAGAGGCGTGTCGGGAGGGAAGCCTGCGAAACATACTCTATGAAATATAACAGTCATTTTATGAAAACAATAAACAAAAAAACACAAATTCAAAGAAATTACATACCTAATCATTCAATATAATGCAATAAAAGTCTTAGTAAAATGTAGCGCTTGACAACTGAAATATTAGTTAGCTCTAAACCAGGATGGGACCAATCTAGGCCATTTACATTGGTAGAGTTTACCACAAGCCATATTTTGACTAGTTGAAAGTGTCTTTTATTATGACAAAAAAAGCTATATCAAAAAAATAGCGCCATTTAAATAAACTTAATATAAAGGATTCTTCTTACATTTGAGGAAATTCATCTCAGACGAAAATCAAGAGGTCACGAACATAAAATAAATAAAAACCAACTATAAATGCAATAATGCAAATACCTGCTCGTTTGTTGAGTATCGGTATAAGATCAGCTGGCTTGCTGGCGATAGAGAGGTAGTGATGTCCGCAGTAATGGATGCGTTTCTGTTTAGGGTCGTAATACTTGAAGAAGAGGACCACGTCGTTCTCCTTGTCGAAGGGTGGCAGTGAGCTGAATCCGGAGTCTGGTGGCAGCATCTCCAGGAATATGTTCCACGGGTTCATGTTCTCAGACACATCGGATACAGTCTTCATCTGATCATTTACAATGTCCAGGCAAGTCGGTCTGCATGTCTGTGGACAAAATGTATTGAATAAAAATTATCAATCAAACTAAGATAGATGGAAATTATGGCAATTTTTTTTATTATTTACATGACTGTTTCAATTCATAAAGATAATTAAACCAGTTGGTTTAGTAGTCACTTAGTAACACACTTAGGGAGTTCCATAAAGTAATAAGTTCATCTTACTAATATTATAAAAAAAAATGAATAGTAGGATGGATGTTTGAGTTTGTAATATAACGACTGAACGAATCTCGATGAAATTTGGCACAGATGTAGAGCATAGTATGGAACAACACACAGTTTACTTATTTTGTCGTTGACGTCGCGGCTAAAACTAGTACCCTTTTTTTTATGATAATATGAAAAACATTATAAAATGTGGCGAACGAGCAAGCGGCTACATGAATACGCTGAAATGGCGAAGCAACCGCTGCCCACAGACATCTGAAATTACTGTTGCATTGCCTAACCTTAATCGATGGAAGAGGAGACGCACATAAACAGGATATTTTCCCTTCCTGTGCATCTCCTCTGCCGTCAAGTCCTGTATCAATAAATTACACTGAATGTGAATTTTTTA